CACTTTCTATAGTCCAGTCTTCTGGGGTTAATTAATCCGCAGCCAATCAGCCACTCAAGTGAACACGCTTGAGGTCCTCCACAGCACATGAGCCCTCCTCATGAAGTAAATAAGACAGCGCAGATTTGGGATTTGGACACGGTCACTTCTAACAAACGTAATAGAGTCCGACATTGCAGTAACGCCCGTTGAGAATTTAAATTTCGCGCTCTTCAGATGACGTGCAGGCAGGCTCACCAGCTCCAGTAGAAAACATACAGTTTAGCTTCTTAATCATCCAGGGGTGTCCAAACTCGGTCCTGTAGGTCTGGTGTGGTGTGCTGCTGAGTCTAACAAAAGTTTAGCTACAGCTTGCTTCAACTCACCTGCCAGGAAGTTTATCTAGAAGCTTGATTGGCTGGTTCAGGTGTTTTTGATTAGGGTTGGAGCTAAAGACACCAAAGTCTCCAGGACCGAGTTTGGACTGTAAACTGAGGTGTTATGCTTTGTAAATCCCAGTAACAAAAGCATCTTTAATAAATTAAACATATCTCATGACTTTATTTCACTTAGCTATACAGTAATGGCTAACAATGTCTTCATAAACATAAATATTGCAACATCTATTACAATCCAAATGTTACACATAAATGTAGGCTAAATACTGTATATGTTAAATAAACATATTAATGTTTAGAAATGAACTGTTTTCCGTATTTTGTGATTCATGTTTTTATTATTTTTTTAATTAATAATGCTTTTGGATTGCATTTTAAAATCTTAATATTTCTTCTGACAACTTTTAACCTTAAAAAGGTGTAAAAAGTGACTTATATGAACGTGTTTAAGAGTTTACAGTGCTATATTGTCTGGGTTGCAGTTGTATATTGCCCTGAACAACATTATATTTATCTGCCAGTACATTTTCCGTTATTTTACAGACTTATTTCTCTAAATATTATATATTATATTGTTTGTAGGTTTACAGTGCACAATATAAATGAATTGATGACTGAAAGGAATCAGTTGTTTTACTGAATTACTTCATCTCTCATAATTTCTGTTCTAGTATTATTGACTTTTGTTTCACAATCTTAGATTTAAAAAAAAATAAAAATACAAAAAACCCTTGACAAGGAACTGAATTGTGTCATCCTAAGAGTTCAAATGTTTATATTTATAAATTACATCTGTTAATTGAGAGGAAACAGCTCAATAATTCTGCTAAAGAACCATGGTTCAGTGGTTTTACTTCACGGGCTGTAGTAAATCTATGCTCATTTTGTAGTTACTGTGGTTTTTACTTCAAATGTCTTAGTAAAAGTACTTCATTTTAAGGTTACTGTGGTTTCGCTACAAAAAAAATTTAATAAAAAAAACACATTTTTGTATGGATCAGCTTCAGCTGAGAATGAATGAATGAATGAATGAGCTTCAGCATTCACATTATAATCTGAATTAGATAAACAAACAGAAAGAAATAGCGAAATATACAATAAATGAATGAATGAATATGATATCATAGCAAAATATTTTCCAAGACAACCTGACAGTGACCATTTCTCAATAATCTGCCACTGACTGTGTATGTGAATGTGTGAGTGTGTGTGTGTGTGTGTTTGTGAATGGCAGAAGGGCACAGCTGTGCTGCAGTGACGCAGTGAATGAGTTCTGCTGAACACACTGCTGGCTCAGATGTTTCTCTATCGATCTTGTCCCGTGACCTTGTCTGTCCTGCAGGTGTTAAATTCAGCTCTGCTCCTCAAATCTGATGTTTTTTTGGCCCGTGTGTGTGTGTGTGTGTGTGTGTTTTAGAGAAAGCTGCAGATCCAGAGGTGTTCAAATCTGCAGGACAAACACTGGAAAATAACAGAAGCAACATTTATAGCTTTATGATTATTTCTGTGAATGGGATTATTTTTGTGTTATTCTTCAATGATAGGGGAAAATGAATGAATAAAGTAATGAATAAATAGATAAAAATATATTAATATCATGCAAATATATTTATATATAAATATATAAATTAATATATAAATGTTAATATGTAAATATGATTATTTCTGTGTTTTGATTTTGCAACTTCAATGATAAGAATAAATCAATAATTAAATAAATAAATAAATAAATAAATACATTTCTGTAAATGGGTTATATGTACAAGAACTTTTAATTTTCAGTCATGCCATTACATTTGCCATGTTTAAGTCTAGTTTCTTCAAAAATCAATAATCTTTAAAATGATCTTCTAAATTACAACATTGATGCTGTGAAAATTAAAATAGCCTTTCTCTGGAAGTTTATCATTTCCCAGAGATGGGTTGTGGTTGGAAGGGTATCCGCTGCGTAAAAACTTGCTGGATAAGTTGGCGGTTCATTCCGCTGTGGCGACCCTGGACTAATAAAGGGACTAAGCCGACAAGAAAATAAATGAATGAATGAATGAACGGAAGTTTATCATTGGCTGAAAACACTACACTGTAAAAATGCTAGGATCTACACAATCAATTTGTGTTGGGGAAAACTTGAATGAATTCATTTAACTTATTAGTTTTTTGTATTTAAAATTTAAGTTGATTGAACATGAAACAATTTAAAATTAGTAGTAGTTTAAACAAACAGCAAACACTTTTTTTGAGTGTAGCTGTGCATATACCCCATTTGCTTTAAGTTCCTCTTTACATTTTAACATTACAAAGACCAAAATATGACTGCAAAATAATGATTTAGAGCTAACTTTATGTCTCCTAATTCTGTTATTGATCTTGAGTTGCATTTAAATCTAATAGAAATTAAACATATTTCAGAAAGAGATGAACAGTAAGACGTCAACAGCCTGTGAGAGCAGAGCACGGGACGGTGTTGGTGATTTTGATGATGAATGTCGCCCTCTTCTGGGTGAAAATACTTTAGTGATGTATAATAAACACTAGCGTTTCTCTCTAAAGTCTATTACACTGTATATAGTGCGCATACTGTAGTATTAACTATAGTGCACTGAAAACCTTTAATATTTTACATATAATTGTACATATAATATAATTGCCATTTATGTTAGTTTTTACATTAAACGGGGGTGTATTGGGGTAAAATACACCCTATAGTTGTAGAAAGATTCAGTATTGGGTCATTTGTTTATATTACTATAGTTGTTGCGTTTCCATAGCAACAGTAGAATCACCACAACAGATCAATTACTATAGTTGTTGTGTTTCCATAGCAACTGTAGAATCACCACAACAGGTCAATTAGTTGTGTTACCATCGCAACTATAGAATAACCACAACAGATCACTTACTATAGTTGTTGTGTTACCATAGCAACTGTAGAACCACCACAACAGATCAATTACTATAGTTGTGTTGCCATAGCAACTGTAGAATCACCACAACAGCTCAGTTACTATAGTTGTTGTGTTACCATAGCAACTGTAGAATCACCACAGCAGATGAATCCAAGTACTCTACCGCAGTATGGTTTAAAAACACTACAGTATTATGTTTACATGTGGGTTCTGTAAAACTGAGTCAACTCTGTTTTGTCGTGTAATGCCTATTAAATTCTGTAACTTTTAGAAGGGAATGTTTTTATGAAAGGAAACACCATATTTGTGCAAATATGACATATCTCATTCAGGCGGTGTAACCATTACAGCTCGATTGTTTACACAATGGTGAGAAAATGAACAGGATGCAGGATTTACTGTAACAGGAAAGAACTAAAACTGTGCGTCAGTCAGAGCAATTTGGGAGTGAACAAACTTTATTTAAAAAAAATATATAGTAATAATAATAATAATAATATATATATATATATTAGATATACATATCTACTTTCCCATTATATACTAAACAATTTTATTAAATATCACAGTTGTTGCAAATTATGTGTTCATTTTCTTTATTGTAAACTGTTTTTTTTATTTTGTATAAAATGGGAAAGGCAAAGGTATCTTTGATTCATCATCATCATCATCTTTCTTTTTTGCTATTGTTATAAATATCATTAATATTAATTATTTATTATTATTATTATTATTATTATTATTATTAATATTATTATTATTATTATAATTATTATTAGAAATTATTTAAATAACATCCTGGCCATTAATCATAAAGTTCATAAATCTCTTTAAACAGTTGTTTACAATAAAGAAAATTAAGACACATAATTTGCATCAACTGTGATATTTAATAAAATATTTTAGTGTATAATGGGAAAAGACAAATGTATTGCAATAGGAACAATTCAATGTGTGTATCTGAAGCATCAAATGCTCTTAATTGTTCTATTTAGTATTTATATAGCACTTTTTTGCAACTTTAATGAAATGAAGGAAAGGAAAAATGAAGCAATCCAAAGCAAATCCTTTTTATTTAATGTCACATTTAAACTGACCAATCAATGTTTTAGCTTTTTCACATACTATTGCAATATCTTGTAAGTAATAAATAACAAATACATTTTAAATCAATTATACCAAGTAGCAATAGTAATATCAAAGCTAAATTAGAGCATGAGTTAATAAATACATATGTTTATATCATGCAAATAAAAATGTTTAACAATAAAACAATAGAAAACATTTAAAAACAATAACGTTTTCTGTTCAATTAATTCATACATTTAAATAAACATATAAATAAATAAATATCCGTATGCTATATAAATATATGTTGAAATATACTGGAGATTTTTAGATTTTCAGTTTCTATTGCAACAAAATTCAGATTTAAATTATTTAAAAAGATCATTTACAATAATACCTCTACAACCCTGTTACTTTTAAAACTGTAAACTCGGTTTGTTCTTGTCCAACGTCCAAACCAGACCTTTTCTTTAAATCGGTGAGAATAAAATCGCAAAAAAGTACGTCATTTAAGACGTCAGCGTGTAGTCCTCATAGTTCAGGAAGAACTACATATCCCAGCTTGCCTTCGTCCATCGACCACATCCCGGGAGAGAGGGGGTCGGCATCGAACCTGTGTTTACTTCCGGATTTCCTGTATATGGCAGAGCTTGAAAACAGCCAGTCCGGTTGCCCTACAAGCTGAGAGCGAGAGCCCCGGTCCCAGTACCGAACCGACAGCGAGCCCAGTGCAGCGCGATGCTCTGCTGAGCGGACAGCCGCCATTCCCCGGCGAGCAGCGGCGCGGAGATTAGCGCAGATTTACGCCAGAAACTCTCCTTCGCCAAACGTCAAAGTCAATGCGGTGCTCGACCGGAGCGCTGGAGCTCATCCACCGGCCCCGCCGCCCGCTCTCCGCCGTCAGACACTAACGCGCTTACCGTTCGCCGAGCTCCAGAACCAGGGATTAGTCGCCGCAGAAAGCCGCGGAGCCGCACTGCTAGCTCGGGCTACCCGGAGGACAAGCGGCCACCGCAGCCCCGCTTCCCGTCATCATGGAGTGGTTCATGTGAGTATATTTGCGTTAATTATTACACCGCTGAGCCTTTTAACCAACACAAACCACAAAATATGCCCCTAACCGAGCCCGTATCCCACCTCGTTAGCAGTGTGTAGTCATAATATAAAGTGGGACCCTTTAAGATCATACTTACCTTAATGAGGTTAAAATATTTCACCCTAAATTCACAGTAACATTAAATTACTGGCTGATCATTGCACTACTTTTATAGTAATGTGACTTACTGTATGCACATTCTCAGTAAGAACTATAGTTACATTATATTCATCATGGAGTGTTTAATATGAGTATATTTTGGGTTCATTATTATACAGCTGACCCTTTTAACCAACCCAAACCACAAAATCTGTCCCTAGCCGTACCCATGTCCAACCCCGTTAGCAGATGCTTAATATGAATAGTGGGACCCTTTAAAATCATAGCTAGATTAATGAGTGTAACATATTCACTGCATTAGTTCCACAGTAAGGTGGCCTACTGTATGTGACTTCTCAGTTAGAGGTAGTTGCATTATTTTCAGAGGAAGTCATCATGGAGTGCTTCATGTGAGTATATTTGCTTTAATTATTACACCGCTGAGCCTTTAACCAACACAAACCACAGTATCTGTCCCTAACTGAGCCCTTATCCCATCTTGTTAGCAGTACATAGTCATGATATAAAGTAGGACCCTTTAAGATCACACCTTCGCTAATGAGTGTAAAATATTTCACCCTAAATGTACAGTATTAATAAATTGCAGGCTGATAATTGCACTACTTTCACAGTAAGGTGGCCTACCGTATGTACATTATCAGTAAGAGCCATAGTTAGATTATTTGCATTACGGAGTGGTTCTTGTGAGTACATTTTGCAATTATTTTTTACACTGCTGACTCTTTTAATCAACCCCAACCACAGAATCTGTCCATGACCATACACATGTCCCACCTTGTTAGCAGACTCTTAATAAAAACCCTTAAAATCATAGCTAGATTAGCAAGTGTAACATATATTCACTGCATTAGTTCCACAGTAAGGTGGCCTACTGTATGTGACTTCTCAGTTAGAGGTAGTTGCATAATTTTCAGGGGAAGTCATCATGGAGTGCTTCATGTGAGTATATTTGCTTTAATTATTACACCGCTGACCTTTTTAAGGGCGAAGCAGTGGCGCAGTAGGTAGTGCTGTCGCCTCACAGCAAGATGGTTGATGGGTCGCTGGTTCGAACCTTGGCTTAGTTGGTGTTTCTGTGTGGAGTTTGCATGTTCTCCCTGTGGGTTTCCTCCGGGTGCTCCGGTTTCCCCCACAGTCCAAAGACATGTGGTACAGGTGAATTGGGTAGGCTAAATTGTCCGTAGTGTATTAGTGTGTGTGTGAATGTGTATGTGTATGTTTCCCAGAGATGGGTTGCGGCTGAAAGGGCATCTGCTGCGTAAAAACGTGCTGGATAAGTTGGCGGTTCGTTCCGCTGTGGCGACCCCGGATTAATAAAGGGACTAAGCCGACAAGAAAATGAACTCAGGCGTAGTGTGGACGGATGGCGTAACCGTAGTAAAACTTATGCGTTTTCAAACTAAAATGCATTAGTGTAAACGGGGCCTTATACTTCTGCACGCCGTCTCTGTTGGTCTGCATTAACACGTCCAAACGCTAGTTGGCAGTGAGATGTTAATGTGTCTCTGTGTCGAGTTTCTCCGTTGGTGTTTTGTTCTTTCTGAACGCTTCCTGAATGTACAAGTGGCTCAAACTCGCTCATCCTGAGCAGGCTCGGCCCTAACCAATTTGGCGCCCTTGGCAAGATTTCAGGTGGCGACCCCCCGTCACATCACAGTAAATTCCACTGCTAGTGTACAGTTATAAGAAACTAACCAGCTTTTTGATCGACTACTACAAGCTGGGAAAATGTCAGATAAATATGCCAATGCAATTAACATTATTGCTGAATAGATCTAATATTTACACATTTGCTTGAGGAAGGAATGATGGAGTAGTTACATTAATATTACTATTTTCCAAAACATCTATGTCCTTCTATAACATTAGCTGACGTTAAACTAACAGATAGCACTATAGCTATTTAATGATTAGCAATGTCATGTCATATCTAGGGTTGTAACGGTATGAATTTTTTACGGTATGATAATCGTCTAAAACAATACCACGGTTTGACGGTTTCGCGGTATACGGTATGTTACAAATGTTACAAAATAATAGAACAGTGAAGCAAATTTGACTTTCCAAATAATATATTTTCAGTTACAATAAACAACACCACTTACAATGAACAAATAAAAAAATAAGAAAAGAATAAATAATGTGTCAAAGTCCAAATAAACATGGTGCAAATCCTAAGTAAAAAGTAGATATAAATATTTACTATACTATAAATAGTTACATAACGAAACTAGATTCAATATGGAACATCCTTAGGTTTTATGTGCCAGCATGGATATGGTTGTCTGTGGATATGGATTTGGATGTGGTTTTCTGCAATGCAGACAAACAGCTGCACCTTCATTTGCGACTTTTGAAAACAGCAAGAGCAGCAGTTCGTCTTTGCTGTGTCACTGTTTTGTCATGTTTCTGTGCTGCTGTGGATGCAAAAGTACTTAGTATGAGAATTATTTCATGCAAAACTTTTTTTTTGCGTTTTATTTAGCCGCGCATAAATGTATGCCTATCTCTCATTCCGTGTTATTCAAAAAGCTCAGTGTTGGTCCACAAACAAAAGCGAAACCTATACTTATTGGTTGTGATATAGCGAGTTTGAACCAATCTGGGCATGGAAGAGGGACTATGCATCAATGTATCATGTCTGGTTTGTCCGGAGACACAGTGACGAGCGTTTCTTTGTCAAATCAGCGTTGTCAAATTTTGATGACGTAACCGCACTGATTCCCGGAGCCTCTGAAAGTCCGCGAAAAAAAAAAGAAAAAGACAGCTGTGAAACATAACCAGCTTTGTCTTTTTGTAGGAAACACACTTTAGATCTTTTTAGGGTAAGAGGTTTTTGAGTTGTTGCCATTTATCACTGAATGTGTGTCAGGAATATTGAAAACAAAACCAACTTACCCCCGCTCATTTCTGGCGCCCTTTGGATGTACAGCGCCCTTAGCATTTGCCTATACTGCCTATGCCACGGGCCGGCCCTGATTTTGAGGCAGGAACCAGTGGACGTGCAACAACTTTAACTATGAGGTAAACACGAAACAAAACTTTCCATCCGGAGCTCCTTCACGGGACTCCACACTTGTAAACAATCGCTCCATCGGGCTCGCGCCACTCGCGCAGCTCTCGGTCCCACCCAGACTCGTCAGCGCTACCAAACCGACCAATCACAGAGCTTGTGCTATGTGACGTGCAGTTACATTATTTGAGAGGTGCACATCAGCGACGGCCATGGCGTAGGGCTATGCGCCGATACGTAGGCTCCACCGTAGCATACGCATGCGCTTGATGCAGAAGTATAAATCAGCCTTTACAGTGTGCTCAGCCTGCCGGTTTGTCCATTCACACACATTTTTATCATCACATGATCTCTTATCACAAAATCACATGACCTTTAATGCGCATGCTGGAGTTTGTGCGGTAAAAGTGTTTCCATCCTAGTTCTTACAGAATATTATACTATCAACTGTGAAGTTGCACCATATGGCTGTAATTTCACAGTAATTTAATGTAACTAAATCACAGTAAAATCATGGTAATTTGCCGTGAATTCATATACAGTACTATCCTGTAAAAGTAATGCAATTATTAGCCAGTAATTTACTGTGAATCTAAGGTCAATCTTTTACCGTGTAACCATGCCCATATCCCACCTCGTTAGCAGAATGTAATAATTAAAGACGGCTGATGTAAAGTGCAATCCTTTTAAAATCATGCTCAATCACTAGGTAGGGTAAAAATACAAATCTTGTAAGGTTAATTTTAAATTAAGCGCAAGTACCCAGTCATTGTTTAAATATTAGTTAATAATTATAGTGCTTAATCTAATGATCAATTTATGTGTATTTAGTGACTAAACTACACTTGGCAACTCACAAAGGTAAACTGCTGTGTGTCACACATGCCCAAATATTGCACGCTCTGTCAGAGCTATTAATAAGAGCGGATGTGTTGTGACGTCAGCTTCCTGGACTCTACACGCCTGTAAAACATGTTTAGACTCAGTAGAATTCACAGTAACTATGAGTAATAATAAAGCATGCATGAACTGATCGCATGTCTGATTCATGCACACTGGAAAATCTTGGTTTGCTTTTCTAAAAGAAAAAAACAAATCTAAAAATATGACCAGACTAAACTGCTGGATTACGTTTTTAATTTATTTATTTACTTCATCCTCTTTGTTGTTGCTTCCAAGCTAATTTAACCAATCAGATGAATCCTTACTATCTTTAGCCCCGCCTCCCCAGTAGTTGCTGTTCTGCTATTGGCTAGAAGGCCAACGCAGAGCTGAACACTAATGTGTCAAGATGCCAATCAGAGTCAGAATATCTGCGCAGGTTTTCACTCACTCATGCTGTTTTACAGACTAACTGTTTGCAGGGTTTTTAGTCTGAATTAGATCTGGAAAATATATTTGATTTGATATTAATGAAAATAGCATTTATGAAGGGAAATGTTGTTATAGCGTAAGAAATATCATTATTGCAATAACAGCAGTAAGTATGGCATATCTCTTATCCCTGATAGATTATGAAAGTGTTGCATTGCATTGATTATTGTGCTGGTTTTTGACCTGCAAAACCTTCCTGGAGGATCCCAACCTTCACCTGCAGAGAGACATCTGTGAGGTGTCAAATAGCTATGGCTTGTTTTGCTATGTGTGCTGACCTCACAGCAACCAAAAAAAAAGAGCTTATAAGCAACTCTTGCATCGCATTGGTCTCAGATGGACTCAGTCTTACAACACTATTGACCCTTGCTGAATTATGCCACTTTAATAGTGCTGCTGCGATGGAAGAGGAAATTATAAGTCAGCGATGTTTGTTGTTGTTGTT